ATTTATTGTGGACCATCGCCACCGCAGCTGTTTCGGAAGGAAGAGCCTTCAACACTTCTCTTACGGGCTCTTCAGGATTGGTGCCCAGAAAGTCGACCTTCTTAGAGGGACGGGGCATTTTTCTCTTCTGCTGCCCCGGAGCTTGATCAATGGGCACTACAGCAAGGGGTGTTGTGCCCGGGGCAGCGACAGGCTCAGTTGGAGCGGGCCTTCTCTCTGGGAGGGCCACCCCCGTGGGAATTGTGGTCTGCTTCAAAGCTGGGGGTGGCCTCGCCACAGTTGGGCGTCTGGGAAGGGCGGCACTTTTCTTGCCCTTCCTTCGGAGGTCAGCCTTCGGGTCCTCCGGTACTTCCTCCTCCATCGGAGGTTGGAGCCTCTTACTGGCCTCCACCAACTCCTCCATTTGCTTTTTGTACGAGGAGGAGGAGACCTTCAACGCCCGTGCCTCAGCCATCATCTTCTGGATGGTCTTGAAGTCGGGGCGCACTGGCAGCTTCTTGTTAAAGTTGTCTGTAAAGAAGCAAATAAGGAATTAATACAAGTCTTGGGAGTTCGGAATAAAAAGTAAAGACTTCGGTCCTATTACCTTGAGATGCCATTAAATCGTGAGTAATAAAATGGATGTTCTTTTGGATCAGCCTGTGATAGGACCTCTTCTTTTGAGGCAGCTGATAAATGACATAGATGGTGTCGAAGTCCTCCGTTGACAGCTCGCACTGAGGAAGAGAACCTACAAAGGAAACATAACTGTTAGACACAATTCGAACCAAAGAGAAATAAAAGAAGCAACTACTACTATACTCACTAAGTGTTGAAAACTTCGTTGGAACTGTAAGAGGCGCCAGGGAGTCCCCCTCCATCGTGTCCCATCGCCCTCTGCTGCCCAGCACCATGAGCTTTTCCATTCTTCGATGGAGCTCAGCAGATCGACCACGAATGGAGTGTGGGAACCCCATGATGTAAGGTAATACCACCCCCGGGTCTTATCCCCCCCAGCAGTAACCTTGGGAATATAGAGGGTCTGGAAAACGGAAAGGGGCATCTCCACCCCTAATGACGCCTCTTTCCACAACATTCAGGAGCCCATTATCTGGCTCCAGGAGTTCGGATTGAGCTGCGTTGGGGCTAGCCCATAGGACCTAAGCACCAACCTAAAGAATAGGTGAACGGGCAGCCTAAGTCCGGCCCTAAGGATCGCCTCACTAATGGCCACACAGCCTGGCCTAGGGTAGCAGGTTCTCTCTTCCGGCCCGAGGGAGGATCAAGTCTACGATATCAGGGATCCTATACTCTGTCCTAAGTCTCCCCAGGTCGGCCTCCCTTAATTTTGATGGGTAGTCCGACGCCCCTCAATGCACATAGGTATCTGGCGGGCTATCCGGTCGTTTCCATATACTCTCCCCCCCATTATTGGCCCCGCTATTTCTGAGGAGGTCGCCACAATGGGCTCGTCCACCCTCACTATTCTTAAACCCCTCCCCGAAACAGAACTCCCCTCTGAGGCCATTCTTTCAAAATTTAAAAGCCTAAATAGGTGCTGAAACTTACGGGTTTGGAGGTTTTCCTAGCCGAAAATAGTGTAAGGTCGCCGGAAGTCTAGTTTTCTCGCCGGAAGTCTAGTTTTCTTGCTGGAATTGCTTGCAAAACGCCGAAAATCGCCAATAATTTGAGAGCAAAGTATAATGTTAGTTTCTCAAGGGTAGAAAGCCTGAGAAAACCCCCGAGTCCTCCTTTTATAGAAAAACAAATCCGATCTCCACCGTTGAATTCAAATGCGATCAATCTAAGCCGTTCGTCGCATCCTCAATCTAGGCCGTTGAAATGAAACGCCAGATTTGATCTACGCCCAAGATGTCGCTGTGACTTTCACGCTTGCTTGAAACGCGTCACCTCGGTTACAACCAGCGTCAATAATAATTAGTAGCCACAACAGCCTTTTAGGAGAATAGGCATGGCACCCAATTGTCACCTTGAAAACACGCAACAGTTGTCAAATCATTTGACGTTTGGGTCGCCTCGGATTGAGCTTCTCCTCCAACTTTACAAAGCTTGGACGCACCTGACGCGAAGGCCCTTCTGGGTCATCGCCTCGGACGCTGCATTTCCTCCCATGCTTTACAAAGTTTCAGCCATCTCCCAACGCGTCGCCTTTTTGGGTCAGCGCGCCGGTAGCAGATGAGCTCCTCCTCCAACTTTACAAAGTTTGGACGCACCTGACGCGAAGGCCCTTTTGCGTCATTGCCTCGGACACTGCGTTTCCTCCTATGCTTCACAAAGTTTCAGCCATCTCCCAATGCGTCGACCTTTTGGGTCAGTGCACCGGTGGCAGATGAGCTCCTCCTCCAACTTTACAAAGCTTGGACGCACCTGACGCGAAGGCCCTTTTGGGTCATCGCCTCGGGCGTTGCGTTTCCTCCCATGCTTTACAAAGTTTCAGCCATCTCCTAACGCGTCGCCCTTTTAGGTCAGCGCGCCGGTAGCAGATGAGCTCCTCCTCCAACTTTACAAAGTTTGGACGCACCTGACGCGAAGGCCCTTTTGGGTCATCTCCTCGGACTCTGCGTTTATCCCATACTTTACAAAGTTTCAGCCCTCTCCCAACGCGTCGGTCCGTGGGGTCAGTGCACCGTATTCGCGAAGTTTCGATGCACCTTACGCGTCGTTCCATGCTGGTTAACCGCCTCGTACGCTACGCACAATAACAAAGCTTTGGCACGTCTGCCTGTTATCATAACCTCGATTGCTGCAACAGATCAACCCCCAAAACTCTCATGACTTGCGGTCCGGTCAGAAAAGCAAGTCCACGCATGATATAAATATTCATCCTCGGACTTGGGGGACAACTGTTACGCTCCGATTCTACACACCTCGGATCCCGAAGTGTCATCTCGCCTCCGAGGTTGAGATCAAGTGGACCCCGCGCAGCACCACATATTCCGACCTGAAAACGACCCTTCCAAAGTGTCTCCGAAGTGATATAGCAATTCCTACTACCCGAAATGATATAGCGATTCCTACTACTGACCTGCCAAAACATTTCACCTCCGAGGTCGAGATCAAGTGGACCCCAGTTAGAAGATCCGCCGCCAATTTGAAATTTGTCCTGCATTTAAGGTTTAAATTGATTTGACGTCTCTATGATGCTAGTTGATGTGACTTATCAACTTTATGTCAATTCAACTCAGAAGAAACAAACTGTCCGCCCACTCTACAAAACGCGACTGATTGACGCCTATGAGCAGACACTTCATACCGTCGGATGTATACACGCGTTACACATTCAACGGTTCATACCACTTATAAATACCCAAGGTTTGGCAAGAGGCAAAGGTAATGAAACTCTTACTACATAGCACTCCATAGCAAGTTTATATTTTCTCCTCCCCCTTTATCGTTGATTTGCATAGCCCCCTGGATATTGTTCCGATCACTCAAATTTGATTTGACCGTCGGAGTGTATACGGCCGCCACCACCCCCACTGGTTCCGGCCGTGTACGCCTGACTACTCGCTAATTGTGCGCAGGAAGGAACACGTGGAGTAGTTTTCGATTGGCCACGTGGAAGGACCAATTTCCGGGGTCAACACTATGAAAGTTGCAAACTTAATTATAATTGTAATTGAAATTTCAACACTACACTTGTAATTAAATGTAAACTAATTGAATTTGAATTTGAATTAAAATCTTACTTTAATTTTAATTAAAACTCTTATTTAAACGTAAAATTACTATTGTACAGGAGTTGTAACATTCTATTTCTATAAATAAAAATTAGATGAAAACGAGAAATTTTATGAGATTGAATAAAAATTCTACAATAATTATTCTAATTTGAAGAGTAAATATTAATTATCTTACCTTTTATTGATCGTCCCGTACAAAAAATAGTTCTTGATTTAATTAAAAATTAGTTCTTGATTTACTTAAAAGAAGATGTTCACACATCAGTATATTCTTGATTTTAGAGAATACTATAAAAGATTTAGATGTTTGAAATATCAAATTCTTAAAATTAAAGGCTGAAAGTTCATGATCCAAAAAATTGAAAATTCGTGATTCCAAATTAATTAAAAAATCGATAATTGAATATAGGTAAAAATTCAAATCCTTTATTTTTGACGTAACATACACATGAACATCTAAACAATCTTGTTTATTGAATTAAAGATTTTTTTTTTAAATTTCTAGATAATTCCACTTCCAAATTCCAACACCAATGACACGCAATACATCGCTCGTAAAATGCATGCACAAAAATACTTGTTTGTGTATTTAAAATGTTCTCGAATATCTCAGTTCTCCCCCAATTCACAATCTTACACATTGCCACAAACTGTCCTCCGTTGTGCCCATGAATGTTAAAAGATTGAAATGACCACGAAAATTATGCATATCCATACACACCAGAGCAAGTTACTATGAGAACTCTTGACAATGTACAGGGAACTATCGTTTTTCAGAGAAATCTGGTAGGAATATACTCGCTTATTCTTAGAGGATAACTGTAGAACTCCTCATTTCTACTGTCTCCCTTCCTGCGATGGAAGGGTATCAACCATGGAAGTCCTCTCTCCTCAATTCGCCTGGCTTCAAGAGTGTTGTCTAGAAGTGTTCCGACTATGAGCGCCACAGTAGGCGAGGAAGAGAAATTAATCTAGATTCAATGAATTTTCATTTGATGAATCTTGAATTACATAAATCTAGAATTATTATAGATGAATTAATTCATATTCATGTATTAAGAAATTTTAACGGTGTTTAAATTTATGTATTAATAATTAATTTTTATGTAACAAATGTAATATAAAAAGATTACTCATTTATGGTATTTTATCATTACAAAAACTTTGAATCATAGAAATTGAGAGTACAATTTTATTCTCTTAAATTTTTATGTTAAATTTTATTTTCTTTAATTTGTCCGAGACTCATCAAATCCTCCAACAAATTAGTACAAAAAATTACTTTTACATCACTTATAAAGTATTTTAGAATAATGTGCAATGCACGTTCAACTTTGACTAGTACTGAAAAGTAAAATTCATTGAACTTGTAATAAAATATCAGCTGCTTACACAGCAGCAGCAGTCCCAACAACAGCACCAAATATCCCTTCAAGCAGCTGGCCCACACCCTGAGAAATACAACGTATATTGTAAAATACTCATATAATTTATTTCAGAAGAAATTCACTGTTATAAACTGATAGTGATTGAACAGACCTGCAGACCAATGCTCCGGCTTAGCACATGTCCTGGAGGTGCAGTAGCACCAGCAAGGCGCGATGCAGCATAAAATGTTCCAGTGGACTGCAATATGAATTTGTAAGCAATGGAAAACAATGCCAAAAGGCATTTTTTCTAAGTGACTGTACAAGGCTTAGATTATCAGGTATAGTATACGTAACAATGGTTTTGTTTAATTCATTCTTTTAAGGATCATAATTGGTAAATTTCATGATTGAATACAATATATAAATATGGAAAAAAATAGAATGCAGTCTGTTGCTTGAGTTAGCAAAGGGCAAACATACTTCGGCTGAAGAAACAAGTGCAGCACCCATCATCCCAAATACATGACTTGCTCTGAATATAGGGGTGCCCCACTGGAAAGGATATGGAATCTTGATCCTAACGAAGAAACATCAAGGTAAGAAGTAAGAAAAAGTCGGTATCCACAAGGCACATAGCTAAAATGTGGACATACTGATGCAGTGGAAGACGCCCCAAAAAAAAAATTTCTATCTATCACAATTGAGAAAATCTCAAAGTGCTTTCAATAACCACCAGAAAAGCAATTGAAATCCTAGTAGGTTTTTTTAAACAAGAAAGTCTTGAGTGAAAAAGATTAAACAACTTGCAACTTGATATTTATTATTTAAAGACATCCTACATAATAAAATAAACATAAATAACAAAAGGGACAAAAGGGTGCTCCCAATTTGCATATCCTGTTTGAATCACATACCATGGAGCAGATGACATGAGAAAGGAACGGTCTATACGACAGCTTAATTTGGTCGGCTCTCGCACATTGTTGTAAGCACCAGCAACAGTAAGTATTGCAGCAAAAGACCAGATAATTCCAATGCAGACGAGCAAAGCGAACTTCTCAAGCAAGGATCCAGCAGCTGGAAAAATGTGTTGCAAGTACTGCACACAGCACACTGTTACAATTTTTCTGAGAAGAGACTAGCAACACAATTAGGCAAGAAAATGTGATTTACTTGTTGGCCGATAACTAGCAGAATCAACATGGGTAGGCCAATCTCCACACAATTTCCAAGCTGTACAGAACAAAAGGGCAGATATGAACTCATACAAACCATCAATTTCAAATGGCATCAAAGCTTATAAGAAGAGAGAATACCTGTGGGAAGCCCCTAGCAAACAAACCAAGACCTACTAGACAGACTACTGGAACTATAACAATCGGGCTGAAGAACCTGCAAGGAAGATCAAATCAAATAAAGGGGAAAGCAACATAAGAATAAGGACTACCGAAAAAACAAAGAAAATAAGGTTTTCTACAAGCTCAGAGAGATATTAGATAGTTACATAGAAAGCTATTTACCGTGTAAGATTTCCCCAAGCATTGCTATAGCCAATCACAATGTTGATAAGTGAGGATACTATTAACGATCCTTGAATAGCTCTCATAGTGTGAGTGAACCTCTACAAGCACAAGACTAGAAGCAATTAAAAAGGATATTGAAGGTCAAAAGAAAAGGGAACACATGAAATGAACTACTTAAGCTTTGTGCATTAAAAGATCCACACACCATGAGGAAAAGGGAAACTAACTCGAATAATGAGAAAAGGAAAGGTGATGTCTGTCATTCTTTAGATGTGCATCCATCAAATATATAAAAGCTGATGTAATCATGTAAGCTTACTAAAATGAATGTCGAACCACCAGATCTTACCTCGTGTTCATTTGCGAATGTACTATCAGAAAAATCATTGATAATCGCCAATACTGATATAATATACGCAAATGATGGGCCCATCACTGTTGGAAGTCGAGTGCCAAACCAAGTTTGCAGAAGGGTATTAATTCCCGACATAAAGAGCAATGACTGAATCACTCGAGCTTTATCACCCTGCTCACGAGATTTATAGAAAGTCACTTATATTTTTCATGACATAATAAGAATTAAGAAGTGTAGGGAGGTTGAAGGACTAACATGACTGCCACCCATCCGAGGCACAAGGGCAGTTGCAATCATCACAGTTGTTCCAAGCATAACAATGTAGTGCTGGAAACCTAGCACAGCAGTTTGTACTGCAGATGGAAATTATACTTACAATTAGCAGCTACTAGAAGGATTTACAACAACAAAAAACTAGCTCTAGATGCGAACGTATACAAAGATTTTTCTTCAGAAAAGAAATGGAATTTTAAAAATCCAACAAAGCCTAATTGACATTTAATTATTGTCTTGAGTATAATAATTCTTAATTTGATAGACACAGCCTCATTTTGTCGGGAGAATCTAAAAACTTTAACTTAACTATGGAAAGTGCATAGATCAAAATTCCCAGTTTGAAAGATCCTAACAAAAGTTACAATCTTTGTTATTAAGTCCCCTCCAAAACAGACCAAAAAGACATGCAAGTTGGAAAAGCTTATGACTGAAAAAGACCACACCTTTTCAGATTTTAAAACAAAATAAGAATTATTCTTCAGCCCTCACCTTTTTCACCAATATTTTATATCTCAGAACATAATTAAATACAAGAAAGAAATGAAAAAGTACTGACCCCAGGAAGGATTTGAATGGATGCAGTAGTGCATCTGGATGAGCTGTTCTGTCGGAGGATAAACAGGGCCTCTGGCAGCACCAAGAGGAGGTACTACTACTGGAGGCGGAGGCATGGGATTCGGCGGGTGTTGGTGGTTGTGATGGGCCGGCGGGTGTTGGTGGTTGTGATGGGCTGTTTCCCCCATTTTTTGTCCTTTCTTTAAGGTTTCACTCTTCTTGTATAGAGATTTTTTTGGGTATGAGAGAATTTTCTCTTTTCTTCAATACTATTTTTCTTTCTTTTGGCAAGATTCAAGAATCAAGAACAGAACATCGACACCCTGAATGAAAGATGAAACATCAAACAGTTTCTCTGGGAAATTTCGTATGCACTGATGGAGTAACTTGATTTTCTTATAAAGTGACTTTCCTTATTTTAATAGCGAGTATTCAAAGATATTTTTAAATATACAGATCAGATCACTGTAACATGTCATTAAGGAAAATTATTTATATACTTTCTAAAATTGAAGATAGAGAGAGGAAAAGAAATAATTAATATCCACTCGTTATGTTTTGGTTTAAAGAGGAGAAAGAAGATAGAGAGGAAAGGGAATGGGAAATTGGATTGCATTGGGGTTTGTCAGTTCCAAGGGACATAATGCATGATGGCCGCGTGGGACCACGAACTTCGAGGTTCAAATTGACGGAAAAGCCCCTCGGACTTGTCCTTATCACTGTCTCGCCATAGCTGATGCTCTGGTCTGAATTTTATTTTTCCTTTTTGGTGCATTTATTTATGTACTCGTTTAATTTTTTTTTAATATGTACTGTTTTTTTGTTTTTTTTGTTTTTTGATTCTCTTTGTAATGATAAATCCAATTAGAGGTAATTAAGTGGAGTTAACCTTCACCAGCTCAAATGTTAAGGCTTGTTTAGGCTCATATTTTAGCTAAAAAGTGCAATTTTCAACTTTCCGCTCATAAAAAGTCGACTCGAATTGCCCCACAAAAGAGCGAGCTAGTGGCGTGAGTCGAATTCAACTTTCCACTCATAAATTTAAGAATAAAGCTCATTTACTAGAAAATGATTGACACGTTGGTTGACATACACTCACATACGTGTGAAACTCGCGTGAATAAAAAATGCTAGAAAAAGTGCACCTCCCCTCCAACTGTGAGTGTTCTGTCAAGGAGGGGGTTGGTTGTGATTTTAAATACGTTGTCCAGCTCATTTTACATCTGCAAGTGTAATTGTTTTTGTTATAAGCGTTGAATTTAATATTATCGCTACACTCGTATCAACAAATGTAATCACACCAAATCATCAAGATAATATCGTATTCACGGTAATTAATTAGATAAAATAGCAATAATAATCCTGGATTAGTAATTTTCATCTTACCTTTGAAATGACGATGAGCTTATGTGTAGGTCATGAAGTTGATGTCTAAGTCATTACATTAGCTCTTTGGTAGGAGAATGTTACGAGTGCTAAAATCGTGACAAGTAAATAATTATAACATCATTTTCAGGATGAGTTATGCCTTGATAAACGATTTCTTATGTTGCCACTACAACAACTTCAATAGTTCGAAGTGGATCAAGAATCTCCTGGATAAATATTGCTCAATCTTATTTATTCCTGTTTGACAACTATTAAAATAAAACTAAATTCATAATACACATTCTCATAATAAAATATTTTTAACATAACCCAAATTTTTTTTCTAATTTTTAACCACACATTCTCCAAAAAATTACTATTACAAAACTTGTTCCCCTTTTTTTTTTTTTTTTCAAAACACTTTTCTTAATACTCCTCTCATCCCATTTATGTAGGCTGACTTTGTTTTTCATACGAATTAAAAAATCTTATTTAATATTATTGAAAAAGAAATTTTTACAAAAAAATTTCCCAGTTTACCTCTAATTATATTTGTACAATTTCAAGATTAAACATGAAAAATTAATGATAACTAGGTAAATTAAAAAATGGTGTATCAGTAAACGAACAAAACAAAACAGTCTCGATAAAGAAATAAAACTATATAATTAGAACAAGAAAATAAATAAAGTTAGCATATATAAATGGGACAAAGGGAGTCGTTGTCAAATAGGTTAGTTAGGCCCTGTTCTCTTTACCGTTTTCGGGTCGTTTTCTGTTTTCGATTTTTCAAAACGGTGAAAACGTGTTCTCTTTCCCGTTTTCGAAAACGAATTTTAGAAAACGTTTTCGAAAACGAAAAAAATTTGTGAAGAAAACACAAAACAACTTTTTTGTCGTTTTGGGCGTTTTCAGTGTAAAACTTGAAAAAATTGAAAACGCGGGAAACACTTTTT